TGAAATCGTAACGCAACTACTAATATAACATAAAGGCATGTAACAGAGTAGTTGCGAGAAAATTACTCCCTACTCCTTCTACTTTTTCTGACTTCCATGGCGTAAATCCCAGCGCGGCGTTACCCTATGTCTCCTGAATTAATTACACAGCGTTACAATAATGGATTGAAACGCGCAACTGTATTTTTTGCAAAGAATTATTGTATTCTTTACGCGGGAGCTTTGAAATACGTTTAATTGCTATGACACGGCCCCGTTGGCAGTCGCTTTCAACGATTGCGTCCTTTGTATTAATCAAACGGCAGTGCAATAACGGATTGAAACACAACGAACACATAACTACGTCGTTAGCCGCGCAAATGGCTCAATCGCTACGTTACAACTAATATAAAATCGACGAGCGGTCGGCGCATTGCAAGTAACGTCGCGGCTTATTAAATAGGAGGCATGCAATGCCGAAAGCAATGGCTAATTGCCCTCGCTTTTAAATAAATTTACATAAACGTTCTTATCCTGCTCGCGTGATTTTTAATTCGGCTAAAAACGCCGAGCTATATGGTCAGAATTACTATTCAAATACCCCATCGTATAATTTTATTATATCTTTGTTGTTAATAAAATAATATATAGGGGCACTCGAGGAGCAGTATTTCTGAACGTGGCCTTGTCTGATTTCGCATTCGTTACGCCTAAAGAATTTTCAGTATAGCTAAATAGATAAATCCTCTCCCTTTAAGCGTAACTCTCCCATTAATTATTTAAGTATGCATATTTTACATAAATACCTTCTCCAGTGGATATGTCAGACGCTATTTAGATGTACAAGAAAGGAAATGACAACGAGCGGTGCGCGAAAGTGAATGTTATAGCCAATATACACGTGTTATGTAAAAAGAGATTAAAGTCGTTTATATTCGACACGCGCGTGCAAAATCGACCAGTCAAAATAAAGCTACTTCTTGATTCCATCGAGAAGTGCGAATCGATGCGTTGTTCGTGTCTGTTGTGCATTCGCGAATTTTACGGTGGCGAATAATCGAAACCCACGAGTCCGAAGTTTCCGTCTATCTCGTCGGAATCATTTCCGCTTATTTCGTACTCCTCGAACGAGACATCGTGTGACGGACGTGAAATCGATGAGTGAATAAATGAAAGTGCTTGACGAGCTCAGTAATAAAATATAGCAAATGCAGAAAGTAAAGTGAAATGCTGCAAAAATGAATCATTATCAATCATTATTAAAATCAATAAATCGATTATTCTGTGCATTATTTTGTATCACGTGTTTACGTAATTATATAACTACAACAATTTTCATATGTCTTACTTGTTTTGACATTGTATTTCACGAATTACAATAATTGTTACTTCGGTATTAGGTAAATGGAATTCTCGCACTTTTAATTTAATGGTCGATCGTATTTCAAATGCATGTATTCAAGACTTTTGCAATTTCGTGTGTGTGTGAGAGAGAGAGAGAGAGGGGGGGGGGAGGAAGGGAGGGGGAGAATGGAACTCATCGAAGAATGATGAATTAAGTAATAGTAGGCGAACTAGTATGCAAAGTAAATTCATTGGTCGGTCGTTCTTTTGTGATGCATGAGATTTCCACGATCCGCGAATAATAGAATGGGAAATAAAGTGCGAACAAAATTCCGCCACTCTCGGATCACTCGTCGTCATTCCAGTGAAAAGAAGCGTGCACACGCACATAGTACACTCAATTGTCGACTTCACGTCCGAAAAGTACTTTCAATTTAAATCCTTCCGATTAATTATAAAACGAGAGGCAATAATTTAAATTTAAAATTAGCACGACTTTTTTTAGACTTTTTTAAACATTAGACTAACTTGCAACAAACGCAGTACTCAAAACAAATATTTCATGTGTATAAATAAAAATAGATTTAAAAATATATTCATAGAATACATAGAAATAATGTTCACAACATGTAGGTATGTATAATATATTAAAATAGAAAATTATATATAATTTATATTAATAAAATATAATTATATTGTTACTGTATAAATGCATATATTTTATATATATATATC